TCGCTCCTCACAAGACCTCCTACTTTCTAGCTCCCTGGTCTCCACCTCCCACGCCCGACTGCAGGACTTCTCCAGGACTTCCCCCATCCTCTGGAACTCACTACTCCAATCCATCAGACTGTCACCTACCCTCCTCACCTTTAGGCGCACCCTGAAAACCCATCTCTTCAGGGAAGCCTACCCCACCCTCACCTAACTGCCAATCTCCTCCACTCCTCCTATCACTCCATCCCCCACAGCCACTTCCTCCTGTGCCACTATCCCCTCCCTCCTAGATTGTAAGCTCGAAAGAGCAGGGCCCTCAAACCCCCCGTGTATTGTTTTGTTACTGTATTGTCTCATGTTCTGTCCCCCACTACAATGTACAGCGCTGAGCAAACCTTTCGGCGCTATTTAAATACTGTATAATAATAATATAATAATAATCTTCTTGATGGGGTCACCTTGGCAGCTGTCCTCTAACCTCTCCATCCTCTTGATGGGGGTGACCTTTGCTGGTGTCCTCCAACTTTTCCATCCTCTTGATGGGATCACCTTGGCTGGTGTCCTCTAACCTCTCCGTATTCTTGATGGGGTCAACTTGGCATCTGTCCTCTAACCTCTCCATCCTCTTGATGGGGTCACCTTGGCATGTGTCCTCTAACCTCTCCATCCTCTTGATGGGGTCACCTTGGCATGTGTCCTCTAACCTCTCCATCCTCTTGTTGGGTTCACCTTGGCTTGGTCCTCTAACCTCTCCATCCTCTTGTTGGGGTCACCTTGGCTTGTGTCTTCTAACCTCTCCGTATTCTTGCTGGGGTCACTTTGGCTGATGTCCTAAAACCTCTCCATCCTCTGACAAGAGATGACCTTGTATGCCTCATCATTGGAGAATAGGGTGCTCTAGTTGCTTAGATTTTTGACAATGGGGTGGATTAAAAAGACTCTTTCAGCTGAACAGGCAATGTAACAGGTTCGCTGAAGGTGCTACGACCACCACCAGTACCATCCCAGTGTTCCTCCTGCCACTTTGATCCTTTTGCAGAGCCTTTTTTAATTTCTATCTAAAGAATGGTCTTTGTTGGGGTTTGCACAGAATTGTTGACACTGTCCCTCCCTCACGTCATAGCATTCAGCCCTGGTTCAAAGAAATATTCCCAAAACACACGCTCCTGAAAATGGCTGTAAAGTGGGTGCTGCAGTGACCACCGGCTGGAGCCTGGGAATGACACAGAACAGGAGATATGTCGCCACACATTGAGGATCTCTAAAAATACATCCAAAGCTTTATTAAACTACCACATCACAGCATAAACGAGAGACGTTTTGGAGCCACGCATGCCTGATGAAGGGGTCCTGCGTGCCTCCGAAAAGTTGGTGGTTTATGCTGTGATGTGATTGTGTAATAAAATTTTGTTTTGTCAGAGACCCTTGGTGTGCTGGTGACATATCTCTTTTTCAGTATTCAGCCCAGCGACAGGCACACATATACGCAGGGCTGGTGACAACTGGTTAAAGAGGGGTCCCACCAAGCAGCAAAGGTGAGCATCAATAGGTTTTCAGTGCTTCTAGGTATAGGAAAACATATGAGCTCCTTCCAGGATGCAGTGCTTTGTTGTCAGGACGGGGATCTGAACCCACAACCTCTGCTGTGCCTGGCAATACATTTTTTTTTTGTTGAGATACTGGACAACTCCCTGCCTGATTACTTAGACAATCTTACTTTCTGTCTTGTTTCTGGTGAACCTTGAACTCCTTGCTCCTGCTATGAACTTCCTATTTTAGCCATGCCTATGACAGATTATTGTGCTCTTCTCCAGCCAAAATCTTGCTCCTTTTCCTCCTGCTGCTGTCTGCATCTTCACTGCCACTAGTTACCGACCTTGGCTTGCTTTTCAACTACGCTTCCGCTTGATCCCAACCTTTGCCTTGTTACTGCCTACGCTTCCACTTGATCCCAACCTTTGCCTGGTTACTGCCTACGCTTCTGCTTGATCCCAACCTTTGCCTTGTTACTGCCTACTCTTCAGCTTGATCCCAACCTTTGACCTTTGCCTTGTTACTGCCTATGCTTCCGCTTGATCCCAACCTTTGATCTTTGCCTTGTTACTGCGCACGCTTCTGCTTGATCCCAACCTTTGACCTTTGCCTTGTTACTGCCTACGCTTCCACTTGATCCCAAACTTTGCCTTGTTACTGCCTACACTTCTGCTTGATCCCAACCTTTGCTTGTTACTGCCTATGCTTCCGCTTGATCCCAACCTTTGCCTTGTTATGGCCTACGCTTCCGCTTGATCCCTACCTCTGCCTTGTTACTGCCTACGCTTCTGCTTGATCCCAACCTTTGCCTTGTTACTGCCTTCGTTTCCGCTTGATTCCAACCTTTGCCTTGTTACTGCCTATGCTTCAGCTTAATCCCAACCTTTGACTTTTGCCTTGCTACTGCCTACGCTTCCGCTTGATCCCAACCTTTGACCTTTGCCTTGTTACTGCCTATGCTTCCGCTTGATCCCAACTTTTGCCTTGTTACTGCCTACACTTCCGCTTGATCCCAACCTTTGCCTTGTTACTGCCTACGCTTCCGCTTGATCCCAACCGTTGACCTTTGCCTTGTTACTGCCTACGCTTCCGCTTGATCCCAACCTTTGCCTTGTTACTGCCTATGCTTCCGCTTGATCCCAACCTTTGACCTTTGCCATGTTACTGCCTACGCTTCCGCTTGATCCCAACCGTTGACCTTTGCCTTGTTACTGCCTACGATTCCGCTTGATCCCAACCTTTGACATGTTACTGCCTACGCTTACCGCTTGATCCCAACCTTTGACCTTTGCCTGGTTACTGCCTATGCTTCCGCTTGATCCTAACCTTTGCCTTGTTACTGCCCACGCTTCCGCTTGATCCTAACCTTTGCCTTGTTACTGCCTATGCTTCAGCTTGATCCCAACCTTTGACCTTTGCCTTGTTACTGCCTTTGTTTCCGCTTGATTCCAACCTTTGCCTTGTTACTGCCTATGCTTCAGCTTAATCCCAACCTTTGACCTTTGCCTTGCTACTGCCTACGCTTCCGCTTGATCCCAACCTTTGACCTTTGCCATGTTACTGCCTATGCTTCCGCTTGATCCCAACCTTTGCCTTGTTACTGCCTACACTTCCGCTTGATCCCAACCTTTGCCTTGTTACTGCCTACGCTTCCGCTTGATCCCAACCGTTGACCTTTGCCTTGTTACTGCCTACGCTTCCGCTTGATCCCAACCTTTGCCTTGTTACTGCCTATGCTTCCGCTTAATCCCAACCTTTGCCTTGTTACTGCCTACGATTCCGCTTGATCCCAACCTTTGACCTTTGCCATGTTACTGCCTACGCTTCTGCTTGATCCCAACCTTTGACCTTTGCCTGGTTACTGCCTATGCTTCCGCTTGATCCCAACCTTTGCTTGTTACTGCCTACACTTCCGCTTGATCCCAACCTTTGCCTTGTTACTGCCTACGCTTCCACTTGATCCCAACCTTTGACCTTTGCCTTGTTACTGCCTACGCTTCCACTTGATCCCAACCTTTGCCTTGTTACTGCCTACACTATTGCTTGATCCCAACCTTTGCCTTGTTACTGCCTACGCTTCCGCTTGATCCCAACCTTTGCCTTGTTACTGCCTACGCTTTTGCTTGATCCTAACCTTTGCATTGTTTCTGCTTACGCTTCCACTTGATCCCAACCTTTGCCTTGTTACTGCCTCTGCATCCACTTGATCCCAACCTATGCCTTGTTACTGCCTACACTTCCGCTTGATCCAGACCTTTGCCTTGTTACTGCCTACGCTTCAGCTTGATCCCAACCTTTGACCTTTGCCTTGTTACTGCCTACGCTTTCCGCTTCAGCTTAATCCCAATCCCAACATTTGATCCCAACCTTTGCCTTGTTACTGCCTATCCTTCCGCTTGATCCCAACCTTTGCCTTGTTACTGCCTACGCTTTTGCTTGATCCTAACCTTTGCATTGGTTCTGCCTACGCTTCCACTTGATCCCAACCTTTGCCTTGTTACTGCCTACGCTTCCACTTGATCCCAACCTTTGCCTTGTTACTGCCTACGCTTCCGCTTGATCCCAACCTTTGCCTTGTTTCTGCCTATGCATCCACTTGATCCCAACCTTTGCCTTGTTACTGCCTGCACTTCCGCTTGATCCCAACCTTTGCCTTGTTACTGCCTACGCTTCCGCTTGATCCCAACCTTTGCCTTGTTACTGCCTACGCTTCCGCTTGATCCCAACCTTTGCCTTGTTACTGCCTATGCTTCCGCTTGATCCCAACCTTTGCCTTGTTACTGCCTACGCATCCATTTAATCCCAACCTTTGACCTTTGCCTTGTTATTGCCTAGGCTTCTGCTTGACCCCTACCTACTATATCAGCTACTGGACCCTGGCTTGCTCATTTCCTGGTGGAGAAACCATGACCTGGTAATAACATGCAGCAAAACCCATCTCCGCCATCAGAAGCTCTGGTGTATACCAGATCATACTTAGACCCTGCACCTCAGGTGAGCCTGCATCATCCACCAGGGTGACCATCAGGTCAGTGGGAGCCTCTCTACTGCTATAGCTACTGGTGTCTGAGCCTGACCCTTAGTCGTGGTCCTAGTCGCCAGGACCAAACATGACTATGTAAAGGGCAACATCCTTCACACCGTTTGTTGTTCTTCAAAAGAACCTCCCACTTTTCCATAGATGGGCAAAGTATCTGCGTCTCTTTAAAGCAGCCAACAAAGGGGGAGGAGGTAGGAATGATAGCATAAGTTTTGTTCTTTTATCGAATTATCTTAAAAATACAATATAAAGTTTTGATGACTAAAAAAAACAAATAAATTAGCACTGCGTCTCTCGGCTGGTGTGTGAGGAGTGTCCTCTTTGGTGTAAACGGAGGTGGGAACTGCTGGTAAAGCACTTCCCACACTCATGACAAGAATAAGGCCGTTCCCCGGTGTGAGTTCGTTGGTGGCAGATCAACCCTGACTTCTGGGTGAAGGACTTCCCACACTCCGAGCACAGATACGGCTTTTCTCCCGAGTGGATCCTCTGGTGGACAGTTAGGTTGGTTCTCTTGGTGAAACTCTTCCCGCACTCAGAACAAGGGTAGGGCCGTAAGCCGGTGTGCGTTTGCTGGTGGCTGATCAGCACCGACTTCTGATTAAAGGACTTCCCACACTCCGAGCACATGTATGGCTTCTCCCCGGAGTGGATCCGCTGGTGAACGGTCAGGTTCGTGCTCTTGGAAAAGCTTTTCTGGCACTCGGCACATCTGAAGGTCTTGGACTCGGCGCTCGGTGACGGTGGCTGGGACAAAGCGGTTGGTTGAGCGTGTCTTTCATGTCCATCCCTGGGTAGATCTCCACTTTCTTCTTGTATTCTCCAATTTTCTGCTCGACGTGGCATTGAGTCCTTGTGCCTATTCCTCTCTGAAGGTTGTCCTTCATCTTCTGAAAACGACTCCTCTTTAATACGAAAGGCTATATAGTCCGTCCCAAAATCTTCACTGCCAGACTCTTCTTTGATAGGAATACGTCTCTCGGCGTTGAAGATACATATGTTTTGTGGCAAGTCTTCCTTAAACATAGCCGGTGCTTTTAGATTTCTATGGCTCCAACAGTCTCCATCTGAAGGTCTTCCTTGGAGAAAGATTCTTCCTTAAAGTTGACCGTGACGTTCTCCATCTCTGTACTAACCCTTTCGTCCAAGAGAGCCTCGTCTTCATAGGAGACCATATCTTCCTTCATGTCTCCAGGTGTTTGTGATGATTCTGCTCCTTTGGAAGGGTCTTCTGAAAAGAAATACAATGGGATTACAGATCTGTTCATATTGCTTACTCACTGGCATACATGCTATTACCTGCCTTCTTAGATGCTGGCATATTGACATGTATTATTTATGACATAGCTCATCTCATCCATGTGCCTATTCACAGAGTCAACGACCATTTCACTAATATAAAGAAGTCGTCTCACCAAACAACTATTCAGTGTCTCCTGCCCACCTGGAGACAAAGCGCATTTAGCAATTTTAGAAGAATGCCCCTTTTTTCCCACACTGGCAACCAATGTAAGGAGCATTCCTGCCATTGACCACCAATGTAAGGAGCATTCCTGCCATTGACCACCAATGTAAGGAGCATTCCTGCCATTGACCACCAATGTAAAGAGCATTCTTCCCACTGACTACCAATGTAAGGGTCATTCTTCCCACTGACCACCAATGTAAGGAGAATTCTTCCCACTGACCCTCAATGTAAGGGACATTCTTCCCACTGACCACCAATGTAAGGGACATTCTTCCCACTGATCACCAATGTAAGGGGCATTCTTCCCACTGCCCACCAATGTAAGGAACATTCTTCCCATTGACCACCAATGTAAAGGCTGTTCTTCCCACTGACCACCAATGTAAGGAACATTCTTCCCACTGACCACCAATGTAAGGAATATTTACTAGCAGGGGTTCCCTGAGATTGGGAAGCTATTTCAAGAGGTCCTCTGTATAATAAACTTGAAGAAGGCTGTTCGAATCCTTCCTTGTTCTACTAGTTTAATTAAACTTCTATTTTTTTTTTTTTTTTATACTCAACATAAGCTGTAAAATGTGACACCGAGAATACTTAAATAGGTGTTCATAGTCTTCAAGACCACTTCCCAAACTTGACCTACGCACCACCCACAAGCAATGTGCTACATTAGTATTCCAGAACGTCAACTGCAAAGCAGCACAAGACCAATCTACTCAATGGGCAAACCTTGTATCTGTCACCATTGGGTGTCCAGCAGAAATAATATATGGGCCCAGGAGCAACGAGTCAGTTACTGTGAGGTGTCAGCAGTCATGTATCTCTAAATCCCATCCATGAGGGACGTCTGTATGAATGATGAGTCATCGGGGGAAAATGGAAGTCAGCAGTCCTCATGATTGGGCAGAGGCTAGGTCTTCTTGCTACTGGTCCTGAGATATCTACGACTGGATCTGGATGAAGGAAGAGTCCACAGGCTGTCAGCACAAAGCATCTTGGTCTTTACCACCTACTGTTGAAGTAAAAATTCAACCAGATCACACCTGCTGGAAGGATTTCGGGGGTTCTTCATCATGGTGCCCTTGTGGAGACACTTGGATTCTGTTAAAAACTCCTAAAAAACAAAAAGGACACCTTATAGGAACCTGACACACACAATGATACAGTCATCATCCAGACACATCCCTTGTCTGTTACTGGAGAATGTCCCAAAATTCCCAGCACCGCTCACCTCTCCTGTCAGCAGATCAATGATCTTCTGGGTGACTTCTAGGATCTTCTTTTCGTTGTTTATGGCCGATGTCAGGGAGGAAGGTGAGGGTCTTATGATGGGGCTCCGGGTCATGTTCCGTCTTCTGGACACTGCGGGATACACCCCTTGTAAGAGATCCTCAATAGATGCCATCTTCACTGCTGCATATTTCTACACAAGAGAACAGCAAACAGGCATGAATGTCATGTGACCTCCCAGAATCCTCCTCACCTCTCCGGTCAGGTCTGTGTTTTTATTAATAGAGATAAGAGTGATGTCATGTGACCTCCCAGAATCCTCCTCACCTCTCCGGTCAGGTCTGTGTTTTATTAATAGAGATAGCAGTGATGTCATGTGACCTCCCAGAATCCTCCTCACCTCTCCGGTCAGGTCTGTATTTTATGGGGCAGCACAGTGGCTAAATGGCTAGCGCTTCTGCCTGGCAGTATTAGGGGTCGTTGGTTCAAATCCCAACCACGGCACCACCTGCCTGGAGTTTGCATGTTCTCCCTGTGCCTGCGTGGGTTTCCTTCAGGCACTCCGGTTTCCTCCCACACCCCAAAGACATGCTGGGAAGTTAATTGGATCCTGTCTAAATTGTCTCTAGACGTCTATGTATGAGTATAACTTAGGGACCTTAGATTGTACACCCCTTGAGGGTTAGAGCCTGATGTGAATGTACAATATATATATGTAAAGTGCTACATAAAGTACCTGTACTAATAGTAATAAAAATGATTATAGATAAGAGTGATATCATGTGACCTCCCAGAATCCTCCTCACCTCTCTGCTCAAGACTGTGTTTTATTAATAGAGATGAGAGTGGTATCATGTGACCTCCCAGAATCCTCCTCACCTCTCCGGTCAGGTCTGTGTTTTATTAATAGAGATAAGAGTGATGTCATATGACCTCCCAGAATCCTCCTCACCTCTTCGGTCACATCTGTGTTTTATTAATAGAGATAAGTGATGTCATGTGACCTCTCAGATTTCTCCTCACCTCTCCAGTCAGGTCTGTGTTTTATTAATAGAGAAAAGAGTGATGTCATGTGACCTCCCAGAATCCTCCTCACCTGTCCGGTCAGGTCTGTTTTATCATTAGGGATAAGAGTGACGTCATGTGACCTCCCAGAATCCTCCTCACCTCTCCGGTCAGCAGGTAGATGATCTCCATGGTGAGGTCTAATATTGTCTCGGTCATGTGACCCCGGTCCTCGTCCATCCTCTGCAGATCGCTCGGCGCCTTTTGTCGCCTATGGGTTGGGCTCCCACCTTTTATATAAAATCAGCAATCTAGAAAATAATAAGAATAAATGAATGGCTCTCTGTGGTGTTCAGTTGATATCACATTTGTGTCCCGTACATCTCATAACACATTGCAATGATAACAAATACCCCCAGACTGTGCAATATTCCCAATACAAGCCATACAGAACACACACCTACTTCTTCACAGTCAGTTAGCTGCAATTTACTCTCCAGTCACCCCCAACTCCACAATAAGCTCTACCCACTTCCTCTTGCATTTGAAACTTCCGCTTGTGCTCCACCGCACTTCCGGGTTGTGCGTTCCACCTGATGGTTTGCGTTTCACGTGCAGCTGTTGTTTGCTCGGCGCTGACATCTAGCGGTCATCTTTGTAAACTGCGTGCTGTTTCTCTGTTAGGAGTCTAGCGAGTACTCGCTCGCCCTCTGATGTCCACGTGGGAGAACTGCAAGTAATCATCCAGCCGTGACACCCAGGTCTCTCTCTTCCAGGGTTATCTAACCCAAAAGCAATTATATATTTTTTTTTATATTGAAAGTTACAAATTCTTAGATGGGATGGCTGCATTATTTTTTTTTTTTTTTTAGGCAGCACAGTGGCTAAATGGTTAGCACTTCCGCCTGGCAGTACTAGGGGTCCTTGCTTCGAATCCCAACCACAGCACCACCTGCCTGGACTTTGCATGTTCTCCCTGTGCCTACGTGGGTTTCCTCTGGGTACATATACTATTGGAGGAATAGAATGTGAATTTATTTATTTTTTTTGCCTGCAGAGCATTGTAGCCATGATCAGCGGATGTTGGGTACAATGCCAAGCTTCTGTAGACTCTTCTTCTAGGTCTATGACCATACGGGGGTACGGGCATTCAGTTGGAGAGCCGGAGAAGGAGCCAATGTGCAGTGAACTGGCCTCGATCTGGAACCAGCGTGCAGCCAGTGAGGTCAGAAAAAAAAAGTCACAGGAAAGGAGGAAACTTTGCTCTTGCTCTAGGCCAAGGTGTGTCAAACTGGTGGCCCTCCAGCTGCTGCAAAACTACAAGTCCCATCATGCCTCTGCCTTTGGGAGTCATGCTTGTAACTGTCAATCTTGCAATGCCTCATGGGACTTGTAGTTTGGCAATAGCTGGAGGGCCGGCAGTTTGACACCCATGCTCTAGGCCAACAAAGTCTTGAGTTGACTTTTTATGTTGCGCCAGGGAACTAGCATTTTCTAAAGGGCAGCCTACATTTTTTTCTTAGAGGTGGTCTACTTTAACACGTCTCTCCTCAGGCAGGTTGCATATAGGTGCAGCAGCTAGTGCTGGGCTTTCTGGAGTATGGGAGACGCCCCCTGTGATATAAGGACCTCCCCTATGCAGATCATGCATGATTTTATAGTAAGCCTCTGAGAATGAAGACATGGAAGCCACCATAGCTGATGTTCTATGGACAATCTATTGCTACGGGGGGGGGGGGGGGTATTGCTATGAGGAAATCCACTGTTGTTGGGGAGGGGTCTTATGTTGTTTGAGGGATCTACTCTTGGAAAGGGTCTGTTGTTGTTGTCTGCTAGAGAGTTCATTGATACTGGCTGATTGTGGGATCTAGTGTTGCTAGTGGGGGTCTATTGTTGTCAGAATGGATCTATTGTTGCTGGTGGGGTCCATTTTTTTTGGGGGGGGCATTTT